CCCCCCCCCCCCCCCCCCGCCCCCGAGGGGGGGGGGGGGGGGGAGGGGTGTGCGTGTGGACGTAGACGCGGAGCAGGAAGCCAAGCGAGGAGGTGCCAGCCCGGAGGTATTCGGAGGGGCAGACGGGAGGGTGGGGACTGTCAAGTGTTTATTGGTTGCGGGTGAACAGAGTTTTATGCGATCGTCAAAAGCCTGGAGGCTGAACGAAATGAGAAAGTAGCGCACGGAGCGGCACCCTTGCTCCGAAACGGGCTCTCATCGGCGGCGGCGTGAACGTGCCAGTGCGCAGGGCGGGAAAATGCACCCTGGTAGCGATCCATGTCGAGGGAGTGCCGTAGCCGCACGTGCAGAGTTAGGCGCTGGGATGCAGTGCGGAGGTGCCGGCTCACTAGTCCAAATGCATATGGGCACCCCGGTGTGAAAAACTAGCTGCTTTGGAATAATGCACATTTTGATTTCACCTTTTCTCTGAGCTCAGGGCATCCTACGCGAGGATCTCCCCTCATTTTATTATCTGCCAGGTAGGATGGGCTGAGACAGAGTTCACAGTCACTCAGTGTGGTGAATGGGGACTGGAACCTGACCCTCCAACATCTTAGATCAAGTTTCTAGTTACCAAACGGGGTGGATTACAAAGCGATTTCCGCTTATTCACTCCTTGCTCCAAGCCACAGATTTTTAAAAACCATGGTTCAGTAAGTTGCAATGGCTGAGTTCACACCCTAAGATAAATGGGAAATCGTGTTTTACTACTACAAAGTTAAAAACAAAAAACTGCCACACTGTACAATTGCCTATGTAAGGAAACACAGTACTTGGCAAACACATTTACAGCAACCAGATTTTCTCAGTCTTCCCTGGCTCTGCTCACAGAAGTCTTTTTAAATATAATGAAGTATGTTGACTTGGGTGGGGGACCTCTTCCTGCATCTCCTTTTTCAGATGCAGTGTTCTGCAAGAATGGATCTTATTCACCCAAATCTTTAGGACCTCTGGGGAAGTCTTTATGTTTCTCATGGTTGTTTTGAATCTTAGTGTTTTTGTTTTAATATCTCCTTGAGATTGTAACTTACCCAGGATCAATTTAAATAGGGACATTTGCTCTTTAAATGGATCTTTTAATTGTTGATACCTGTGGAAGGTGAGGAGAGGGATATAGCTCAAATACATAAAATTGTACAAGTCATTTTGAAATGCACGTGTCTAAGAAGAATGACCGAGTCATTTCCGGTTCCGTTTATGCCACTGCTGTTCTGTCCTGTGCACAAGGTCCCCATCATTACTTTATGCTGTGTAATACAGTATCAATTAAGGCATTTGGCCTTAATTGGTGATAATGAGCCTGTCCTCCCCTGGGGTGCCTAGGGTAATTCGTGCTATCTGCCCCACCTCTCCCAGCCCATTTCCAAGGCTGGCCCGTGGCAGGCTGGCTCTCTGCCCGGCGGCTGCGTGGGGAGGCTGCTCTTTATTAAGGGCTCCCAAGGTGCAGGCAGGTCCCTGAGCTGTCAGCCTGGCCTGTTTTGCAGTCTCGTCACGCTGTTCAAATTGGGCTCAGCAGAAAGCAATTTAAAGAGTGTCAGGGCAGGCAGCTGACTCTGGTGGCAAAGGGCCCTCACGCCAGCAGCTTGATAAACGAGATCCAGCCTGCCATAGTGAGGTCGATAACCAACAGCTGAGCATGCCATGGCAGAAAAGGGGAATGACACCCTTCCACTACGCAGGCATGCACACACAAAACCTTTCACACCTGACAATCTTGCCCTGTTCCCCTCTGTGCCCCTACTAGGAATGAAATGTAGAACAAATCTGAAAAGTATTCCAGGCAGTCCAGCACATTGGAGTTGGCTGTGTCCACCCTAATCCATGATTTATTTAAGTAACCCAACTGTATGGGTCCCTACAACTTACTGAACCATAAACTAATCCCCCCCCCCACCGATTAGATGTACTGTGGATTTCCGCAGCACATAGAATTACAAGCTAGGTAATCACATTTGGATTTCTCCTGTTGTATACAGTTGTACACAGACCTCATACCATCCAGATCAGTTTTCTGCAATCCTATGCCCTTGCAATTTGCTAAAGTGTGGTTCCCATAATCTCCAACCATTATGGCTATTCCAGGTATTGCTGGCATATAAATTAGATAGATAGATAGATAGATAGATAGATAGATAGATAGATAGATAGATAGATGGATGGATGGATGGATGGATGGATGGATGGATGGATGGATGGATACTTATGGAGGGATCCAGGTTGGTGAAGGCTCATCCAACTGATAGACAGCAGGAAAACCAGTTATACAACATCACTGCATGATGATTTCATGCAAACCAGGAAGGATGTCTTCAAGAACTTAACAGTTTTATTGTATTGTTCAACAGACTCTTTTGGTCATTTGGGTCCTCTTCCTCCACTTCCCTTGAAAAAGAATCCATGTTTCCCAAGGCTTTGTGGCATTGTGATAAAACTTTTGTTAGGTTCCTGAAAACATTCTTCCTTTTTTGGTGTTCTATCTGGGCCATCTCCTTCCCCTTCCTTCTCCTGCATCATGATAATGTAACACAAGGATGATAAAAATAGGCAAACTTAATCCTAGCCCTAACCTCAACCCTCCAGTATTTCCAGAATCAGCAGCTTATCTGATTCAGGAAATCAGCCATGAGAGCAGGAAATTCTTTAAGTGCTAAAACGAAATGCCCAAGGATTAGAATCAGTTTGAGACGGGTGCTTGTGTACCTCTGAAGGCATAGTCAGTTAGGCCAATGGACATGAGAGCCCAGCCCTTTCTGCCTGGTTGATTGACTCTACCAGTACTTTGGGTGGTACTTGATGTCCAGCAGTGATTCTTCTAATATCTTAGTTTCCTCTGCAGCTCCCAGGAGGTTAAAAATCAACTGGGGCCACAATCAGTATGGGGTGTGGGAAGGCTTGGGCACTTCATTCCCTTTGAGCTTATGTAGGGTAGAGGGTTGAAGAGTTAGAGTTAACTTTCTCTTCTGGTGCACACAATGTAGCCTGAGTCAAGCTGAGTAAGTAATTAACAATTACCCAAACATAGATGATAAAAGACAAAGAAGGCTCTAATCTACTGGAGAAAGAAAATATAAAGAAGAGATGATAATACAAATATATGGAAAAACTGTACAGAAACAATCCCAAAGTCAGTGATACTTTTGAAGGTTTGATAACTGAACTAGGGCCAGGCATTTCAGTGGCCCCTAAAAAATACTGTTAACAACAAAGCTGCAGGAGTTGATGAAATATCAGCAGAACCTTAGCAAGGTAATGCACTTAAGGTGCTACTTGTGATTTGTAAACAGGTGTGGCAAACACAGCAGTGTCCAAGGGACTGGAAAAGATCAGTTTATATTTCACTACCAAAAAAGGGCAGTGCTAAAGAATGCTCAAATCAAATAGTTGCAGACACCTTACTAGCATGTAAAGTAAAGCTCAAGATTTTGTAATCCAGACTTTAGTATATGGAACGAGAACTCTGAGATGTACAGCAATTCAGAAGAGACAGAGGCACCTGAGATCATATAGCTAACATCTGATGGATAATGGAAAAAGCAGTGGAGTTCCAAAAAGACATCAGTTTTCATTGTATTGATACTACAATTTTTAACTGTTTAAACCTCAGTAAGCTGTGGATAGCCCTTAAAAACATGGGTGCATCATGTCTATTTGTCTGTTGATGGCCAGGAAGCAACAGCCGGGATGGAATATGGAGCAACCAAATTGTTGAAGGTTGTAGATGGTCACCTTACTTATTTAGCTTATATGCAAAATATACCTTGAGAGAAATGCTGGACTACAGGAACTAAAGATTAAAATTAACATTGCATGGAAAAACGTCATTCTCAGATATCTGATGATACTTCTAAAATGGTCAGATATGAGGAAGATTTAAGGATTCTCTTGCTAAAAATGAAAGAAGAAAATGCAAAAGCCAGTATGCTGTTCAGAATTTAAAACGCAGGCAGTGCCAACCTAGCACAAATAGGCAGAGAAGAAGTAATAACAGATCATACTTTCCTAGGCTCAGAATTTTTCAAGAATGAGGACCATAGCCATGAAATAAAGAGACAGACATCTGCTATTTGGGAGAAATATGGCAGACAAAATATTAAAGTGCAGAGACATCATACTGCCAAACAAAGATACATATTGTTAAGGCTGTGGTTTTCCCAGTCATAATAGATGACTGTGAAAGCTAGAGCATCAGAAAGGTTGAACAATGAGAAATGGATACCTCTGCATTGTGCTGCTAGAGAAGATTGCTGAGAATACCTTGGATTGCAAGAAAAAAGTATGATTCAGTACTAGATGAAGTAAAAGACTACAGACTGAAAGCACTAATAAGCTAAAGTTTAAACATTTTGAATGTAATGCAAAGGTAAGAATCATCAGAAAAATCCTGATGCTTGGAAAAATCGAAGGTAATCAAAAAATGCAGTCAGGCAAAGTGGCTAGATAGACACAAGCACAAGTTTACAAAAACTTTAAAAAGCAGTTACATACAAACAATCCTGCAAAACAGTGTCAATGAGTCACAAAGCATCAGAAGTAACTAAACAACAACTTGGTTAGGGTTGTCATATCTGACCTGCAAAACTCCATGCAAACACTGGAGGGCAGCAAAGAGATGCAAAAAGTCTGAGTCTCTGCTGCCACCTGGTGGTGGTTTAGATGTTTACAGCCCAAATATGATAACCCAAACCTACTTTAGAAGACACAAATCAATTGCTTACTGCACAGGAATCTAATCAGGAATGTGTTGTTCTAAAAATTCTGACATTTTCTGAGCTATAAAACCTATATGAGAGCCAGTTTGGTATAATGGTTCAGGCACTACTAGAAACCAGGAGACTCAGATCTAGTCCTGCCTTCGACAAAGCCAGCTGGTGACCAGTCACTCTCTCTTAGCCTTGGGAAGAAGGGAAGGGCAAACTACTTCTAAAAATCTTGCCAAGAAAACTGCAGGGACTAATCCAGGCAGTTTCCAAGAGTCAACACTGACTTGAAGGCACACACACACACAAACCTATATGCTTTTAAAATCACACTAGGATTTTTAAACTCTGGTTTGCGGAATATATATATATATACACACACACATACATACATACATACACACACATACACATACACATATACATATACGAATGAATGAATGAATGAATGGGCTGCCTAACTCTGGTGGGCTTTGGGTGGCATACAAAACTAGAATGAACCATGTAATACCATGAATTGGTGAATATATTATTCTACACAATAAGCAAGCCATAACATGTTTTACTTGCATTCTATATGAACCAGGTTATGATTTTAGTAAACCTTATGAGAGCTTTTCAGTGGAGGGCAGAGAAAACTATGTTTAGACACTGATGGGTTGATAGCTGAAGCACACCCTTTTTTCAATTGCTTTTATGGCTCTTCTCTTTGACCAAGTTAGTGCTACCCATCAGTCCTTGAGCCAGCAAAAAAATTCATTGGCATAAAATTTGCTGCCTCAACTGGTGATCCCTGTCCTTCCACTCGCACAATGCTGCCCTTATTTCCAGTGTATATTAAGGACAGGGATTGGATCCCCCCAGCTTTATTTCCCTTCCCTCCCACCAGACATCATGAGCCAGTTGAGAAACATCCACCACTCTCCTTAGTAGCATGGGACCAGACAGAAGGCGAGTTTTGACCAATGTGTAGATGTTGGGTTTAACAAAACTCATTCTGGATTTGCAGAAGTGTTATCTGCAGGTGCATTCAAAGGGAACCTACCCCCTGGTCTCTCCCTTACTTCACTGTGCAGACTCCATCTCCACCACTGTTGAATCACTTGCTGTCCAGGTAGATCCAGGTCTCCAAGCTGGAAATGGTCAGAGACCTGGAAAATAAGGGGAAGAGCCTAGTTGGAAAGAAATGGATTCTCCTACCATCCAAAACTGAATGGCCTTGGAAGACCCAGTCTGGCAACTGGAGGGAAACGGCCATGGCTGCACCAGTCTAAATGGGCCAACAGGTGCTGTGCTGATCCTGCCCCCAGGGGTCACCGGATTGCATCACTGACTGGAAGGCCACTGACACATGTCAGACTGTACCCATGGGAGAAAGTAGTACTTTAACACAAGTACTGCTGAAGAGGCCTTAAGGCTGCCTCAGTATGAGCTGCAGATCAGATGAAAGCAGTGTCATGAGGATACAGTAGATCAGTGTTTCTCAACCTTGGCAACTTGAAGATGTGTGGACTTCAACTCCTAGAATTCCCCAGATGTGTGATCTTCAAGTTCCCAAGGTTAAGAAACACTGCAGTAGATCAAGGAGATTGCTTGGTATGTATGTGCTGCAGTTAGATGCATGTGAGAAAAAGCTGTTTAAAACATAAAGCAACAGGAGCCCTGTATTTTACCACTTATACAGGCATGGAAATGAACTTTCTTCTGAACTTCCTATTGCCTCTAGCTTTGGCCTAGCAAGATACGTTTATTGGCACATTGCATGCTTGCTCCTCCTTAAACAGGACAGAAACGGCCTCTACTAACTTACTCATTTGATTTATGAGAAATGTGTAAGACAGAGGCATGAAGATGTGCATGGTTGTCCACAGGAGGGGGTCATGGAGGGTCAGAAGACAACATGTGCATTGCAGTATTGTGATGCAAACCCTGTCGCTTACATTCTCGGCTGCCACACTGGAAAGTTGGGGTTTGTGTTTGTTTGGCTGGACTTTGCGTTTGTTTGTTTGCTGGGTTTCTGTGCTGCTCCAGTCCAGCAGGGTTCTGAGTGTTGTGAGCTCATGACTTTCATTTTGTCATATTGCAGCACCGTGATTTTTACCAGACCTAGGTGTCTGGGAGAAGAGATAATACAAGTACAACCCCACTGGTTCCAATGATGCTATTGTAAGTAATGTTTTATAGACTCATATATATCTAATATTGGGATTTAAGGTGGTTAGTAGTCAAGGCCAACTTTTCAGGAACTGTAGAGATAGGACTCCAGGCTGTGGGAGCAGCTGTTTACCGAATGCCACATGCTGACCTCCTGTTTCCTGACATGAGTGTGTGCTGAAGATCTGAAGGAACTAGTAATGTCACCTGTCACTCAGCAGTGCATATGTTGTTGACTTTTGGTAGGTGAAATTGTAGAACATGGGTCCATGCTTTTCCTCAGGAGAGCATACTTACCCCTTCCCAGGGCATTCCATAATTGCATTAGACTGTAGGCTTTAGATGGTTGTGGGCTTCAACTCCAAGGGCAGTTGGAGGGCCCAAGTGACATATAACACAATACATCGAATTAAATATGTTTAAAGGTATAGATGCAATTTCAGTAGATACGACTCAGCGGCTGAAACTCCCATTAAGTCTTTGGGGTAAGATTCATGTTAATCACAATGAATAGTACCTAAGAATTAATGCATATTATATGAGGGATTGCAATGTTAATCCTACTAGATACTTTATTTACTTTATTTTATTTATTTATTTATTGGATTTCTCTTCCACCCACCTCCCCTACAATAGATTTATACAGATATACAATGTGTATGGCAGGCTAAAATCCCTCAAATACCCTTGGCCAGACTGAGGTTGCCTTATAATGACGGTGGCTTTAGCCTACCAGATTTCCAACGATCATTGGGTTTTTGTGTTAACATCTACGTTCTTTTGGAATGAGGTTTTTTATGATTTTCCTCTCTTTCAGCTCATAGGGAGAGCAAGTGTGTAACACCTCTGTAAACCCAGCAAGTCTTAGAGTCCAAGTACAATATGCCAAGCAGGGACCTTTGAAGGCTGCTAGGCACATTTGGTGATTAATAGGTAAGTGGTTACGTTTCGATCCCAAATCACATAAGAAATTGATGACATGTAATAATCCAAATTTGAAAATGGTGGGAAAGATTGGAATGCCTGGACTAAACAGAAGGTCAGCACTTTAAATCAGTTGATTTCTAATGGTTGTTTTAAAGATTGTGAGAGATTGTATCTTAAGTAGGACTTACCTAGAATATGTGGTTGGCAATATTTGTATTAATTAAATAGTACGGACCAGATGCCCTAGCAGCTTTCGAGGGTGCCTGCAATTTTAAGGCTTTAAGAGATGCAGCACTTGAATGAAAACCAACGATTCAATTTTATAAGAAATTAAAAAGTAAAATGAAAGTTAGTTTTAGTCATGTATCTGGACTGTGGAATAAAAAATGGGAACATCCAATTTTGAAGACTCGATCAGTCCAGATGTTGAGAAATGTGAAATATACTTCTTATGATTTAAATATAAAATTAATTTATCAGAAAATATTATTTTGTGTTTATAGGGCCCCTTAAATAATGTTTAAAAAAGGATGGACATTAGGTGATTTGCACTGACGTTGTAAGAAATTGGAAAGTTCTTTTACTCAAATGATCTGGTCTTGTTCAGCTATAGCCTTGTTTTGGTTGCAGTTGCCATATATGTCAATGCAATTTTGGGAAAACATAGTTAATGCGATGTTAAATATATTCCTGAAACAAGGAATTAATATCTTAGTAAAGAGGATAATTTTATATAATGGAAAGAAATTTAAGATTTTATGGAATGGAACCAGGATATGAGTTTGTTATCTATTTTTTAAAAGTCTCTGGGGTCTAACAGTGAGAGGATGATGCAGTATGTTTTTATATGGTTAGATTTAATGATAAGCCTAAAGATTGTATTAACTTTATATCATTATCTATAGTTATTATAGAAATCTTTTTCTTCCCTGTTAGTTTTCTTTTTTTTTTCCTATCATGTTTATTTTAATCAGTAGAATATATCTAGGTTTTCTTTCTTTACTATCTTTTTTTTGCTGTGGGCATGGTAGGGTTTTTTTGACTTTCACCATTATTAAACAAATAATACATGTTTTTAAAATTGAAAGGGCCCAGTGTGGCAGAAGAGGATCAGAGTGAAAATCTGAACATCTCTGCAGAACTTTGCATGTCTGTTTTCCCTGGGAAAATGCCCTCCCAACCCTGCTTGTGCCCTAGCTGGGCTTCTGGAATTCCATGGGGTGGGTCCCTTCATTATGGCATGCACCAGACTGCAGGCAGTCTGTCAAGAGAAGTCCTTTCCCTGGGCAGTTGTGCCTGCTGCCTTGACAGGCTGGCAGAGACATAGGCCTGGACACCTGCTGGCTTTTTGAACACAAGCAAGGACGGAGGACTCTCTCCTTGCTGGGAGTCACCTCTTGCCCATGCTTGATGAAATATTGAAGCAGGTTGCTGGTGACAGACTGCTGCCTGCCTCAGGCTGTGCAGGAGCAGGAGTGGAGGAGTGTGGATATTAATCTGAAGACAGATGGGGCTAATGGATGGGTGCATTTAAGTCAGTCAGAGGAGAGGAGAGATGCAAAAACTCATTGCCAAATCTGCATGCGGAGGGTCGAATGGCAGAAGATCCCTAAGGACCAGAATCTTGCAGGGAGAATGCCCTGCACAGGCATGGTTCAAAGGAGGGCTGGTCCTTAGGTCCCCTTCCTTTACACTTTCAGGGTGAGGAGAAGCTCAGTGGTATATTGTGGCATTGAGCAAAGACAGGCGGTGATCGGAGGGAAAGGTGAAAAGTAGATGGGCTGCAAGGCAGAAGGGAACCTGTGGTCCTGCGTTCACCTTTGAATAACAAGCGGCATGTGTTAGTAAGACTCCCAGAAGCAAATCTGGGAAGTTATATCTAGCACAGATAGTAACCCTGTTGCTACTGGCTATTTATGACTAGGATTAAAGAACAGGCACCGTTCTTGGTTTTTCTTCTTCGTGCCACTTAGTGCAATCCTTTGCGTGTAGACTTGGAAGTAAATCCATTATGTTCAGTGGGTCTTATTTCCATAAATTGAGAATAAAATTGCAGTCTTGTTGTTATAACACAAATGAACACCTGATTGTGGTTTGTGGGATCTGTTGTGTTTTGTTTTTTGGGGGGGTTTTTTTGGCTAGAACTTTGATACTCACCAACAGAGCCTAGTGCTAAAGATGCCCATTTTGAATTCTCAGTCTAGGATTAAAAATTGACAAAGAATTCTGTACCAAAAATATACTTCTTCTTATCTGCCCCCCAAGTTTTATTCATATCTGTAGGGCAGAGGAGGACAAATTAAATTGTAGTACTTCCATTCTTGGGAATAAAGATACATAGAAATTATATTCCGTAAGTAATCATTTACTGCCCTTTTAGAGCACAAAATAAATGGCCAGGGTCAGCCATTCTGCCAGGGTTTGCCCTGTAAAGAATGCCTGCTGTGTTAAACCCTTGTTTTGCAAGAAATCCAGGTTGACCCAGCTGTTTGAAATCTATTTAATATTGATTAGCAATTAAAAAGCAAATATTAATTATTCTAAAAGCAACAATAACACTGCGTTTTCAGAGAGGTGTTCTCATTATAATTCAGCCTAAGAAATGGAAAGTTAAACCGGTATAACCTTCTATAAATGACTTCAAAACTGTCCAAAATTTGATCTTCAAGGAAATAGGGAAAGCTAGGAGTTTCACAAGCCATTACAATGAACTGATTTCTGAAAGGGGTCCCTAAGAAGCATTTAAAAATCGGTACCCTTCAGATTTACGGTAATAAGACATACCCAGATCTTAGCTTCAATAATGCACAATCCTCCTTCCCCTAGCTATGCTCTTTAGCTCTGGTCAGCAAGGACTTTTATTGGAGAGCCATTTTTGATAAAAGAGTCAAAGAGTCAAGGGCAATAAAGGCTTTAGGCAAAACTTAATTATTATACCTTCCCCTCCTTCCACCCCCAGGCATCTTGCTGTCTGCTGGACAGTATAACATTAGCATCTCAAGTGCAGAAAAGGGCAATCCAAATAGTCGAAAAGCAAGAGCACTTATGAGAAAAAGGGAAATATTGGAGGCTTTTCGTTGGTAATAAGGGCACCTAAAGGAGGACATGATAAAGGGGTTGATAAAATGATGCACGGGATGGGTAAAGCAAACAGAGTTTTCCTTCTCATATCGGCACTCAGATAACCAGTGAAATTGATTGGTATTATATTTAGAACCAAGGGAACTAAAAGCTGCTTCATGTAATGCATCGTTAGCTTGAGCATTTTGCTCCCAGGCTAGGTGGCAATGACCATTGGTTTAAAGATGTGTGGGTGTGTTGGTTGAGGGGTACCCAAACTCCTGGTGGATAGACCTCTCAGGAGGCATCAGCTATAATGGGGCTAAAGGAAGCCTGCAGGTCAGAATCTGCATGGTCCTGCACACCAGTAAACAACAAAGTAGAGTGATGGTGCTTATCTCATGCTTGAGGGGTTCCAAGAGATACCTGGCTGGCCTCTATGGGAAACAGTATGCTCATCAAGAGGTCCAGTCCTGCAGAGTTCTTACCTTCCTACATTGTTAAGACTGTTTAGGGTACATGTTTTATATTTATCAGAAGTGTCAGTAATTAATAGTTATGCCCTGTTCAGGACCCGATGGCTTCTCTAGAACAGGGATGGGGAAGCAGTGGTCTGCCAGATGTTGTTGAAGTAAATTCCCAGGCAGCACTGCTGGGATGAAGGATGCTGTGAGTGGTAGTTTAGTGCAGTAGTTCTAGAGAGCCACAGGTTCCCCATTCCTGCTCTAGAGAAATCTGCCCTCAGTGGGTGGCTTCCAGATACGTTGCACTACCATTCCCATCACCCTGCCAGCATGATCACTGACTGTGCTGACGATGGTAATTTAGTTCCAACCGTTATGGAGGAGGTCTATGGGGACAGAGAAAGTTAGGAAGTAAATTTTGCCTCCTCAGCTAACCCCGCTCACAAATAATCAAACTGCAAAACAACATTGGCAGCATCTAAAGGCAAAGACTATAACACACATCCATGTATTGTTTTGGCAGGCGAATTAAACTTTTGCTTAAAGCTTCTAGGTATTCTGTATGTTATTGTGGAGTTTATCACATTTTCTTTTACGTGGAAATATATTCCAAGTGTGTACTAAGTTTCACAGTAGTGTAGAGGTAGTATCTATGGATATAAAAATAAGTACTAATAAAATGTAAGAATTGTGCTATATGGGCCACTTTTCAAGAGTTTATTTCCTCAGTGTGGCTGTAATATTTCAAGATCTGCATCACAGAGGCAGGACCAATAGGATGGGTTCTTAGAATGAAATTGCCACCTGACCCTGACTTTTGTGGACTTGCACTCTAGGGCTCCATCATATGGTGGCTGACCATTTATGTCCAGCTTCTCACTTTCCATAAGTAGTACAGTAGTATATCAGAGGACCTCAAATCTCCATCTAGATCCAGTTTATCTCCAAACACGTCTTTTTCTGAACTCCAACTTACAGCATAGGATATGCATAGGTAGATTATATAGGTGTAGCTTACATTGTACAGCACACCTATATTTACATGTCTTCCCATGTAAATCACAGAGATTAGTCACTGAAACTGATGGAGACTGAAATTTGCAATTTGTTTGGAAGTAGCTTGTTCATCATTCTAATCCTGTAACTTCAGGAAGCTATGTCTTGAAACCTGACTGATCTGGGAAAGGGTTTTGCCAAAAAGACACTCTTATGAATAGGTTAAGAGTTGGCAACATGCAGTCCATAGTTGTCATCTATCACCACTTCCCAATTAAATTAAATGTACAGTGATTTTGAGATTGCTAAATTTCCTGGGAACACCAAAATCTCATAAGAACTCAAGTGAGAGTACTGAAATTCCATGGGAAACTTTGGACAAGGTGTTTGGGAAGTATCTCCTGGGGCCTTCAAGTTTCCCAGGTAGGTGTCTATCTCACTGCCTGTCTCCACTGCAGCTGTGCCCTGAACTTCTTCCTCCCTTCC